ATAACATATACCCGTAAATGTTTGGAACCATCCTGAATCACACGTGTTCGATGTTCTCGGTTTCCGAAACCTAATGCCTTCGACATTTCACGAATTCTGGCTTTCCAAGACAAATATCTTGGAAACAATTGGTTGCTGCAGCGCGTAGTTTCTGTTGATGACAATTGCGTTCATTTGGCAGTCGGTGCACATCGCAGCTCTCCGCTGCCCTTGAGAAGGGACCATGCATTGGAATTGCTGATATCAGTCGCGCTGTTGTCCGCATTTACTGCAGTCAAATTTGGAGGTTTGTCGGGGGGAATTTCAAGACAATCTGTCTAGTGATTCTGGTCCAATAATATCCCAACTAAAAGAAGCTGTTTACATCACGATCGAATAGCTTTGTTCGTTCGTGATACCTAATTGGATATGATTCAAAGATGAGGAGTTCAAACAGGATTGGGATAATGAGGAGTTTCAACAGGATTGCGATGATGAAAAGTTTCAACATGATTATTCTCCTCGAAGATTAGGAGTTTCAACATGATTATTCGCCTCTAAGATGAGTATTTTCAACATGATAGTGATGGCTTGTAAAAAAATTAAAGTCATAATTAAGCGAGGAAATGATGTTCTGAAGCTCACGACAGAGTTGCTGTGTGCACTGGCACTGACATGTTGGGAGTGCCAGAGATTGTCGGAAATTTCGTTAGAAATGACGTCAGTGCTCCTGCTGTAATTTTGTATTAGGATTAGTATGTTACGATGACAGCTTCACTTGTACGATGTTATTCTATTTATGATTTTTTGTTGTGGAAGCGATGTAACGAATATCATACTGACTTTCAATTCAAAGCAATGGACAGAATTGAAGAAACTTTACAGATTTCATGCGGCCATTGTTCAGATATCTATAATACGGTGGAGGCGTCCTTGAGTACCCCCGGTGGAAGGTAAACGTTGCGCTTGTATCCACCCCAAATAAGAATTAAAAGCGGCACATCGATGACTATTGGTGGGTGTGGTGGATTATAGGTGGTATGAGGATGAGTGGCCGCGTCTTCTCACACTCGGCTGTATAACATCAATAAATCTAGAGGGGATAAATCTAGAGTGCATCTTAGGTAAATCAATGATTCTTAGGGTCTGAACCATCTTTTGAACATTGCAGGCAAATTTTTTTTTCTGCGTGCAAGAAAATACCGATAATCGTCACCGATAATCGTTCGTCCTTACTGCGCAGTGCAGGAAGGAATATGCTACTGAAATCTGTTCAACATAGAGATAAGTTATTAGTAACGCTGGCGCAGACTTTGATGGCTTAGCCAGCGGAGGGATCAAAAAACGTCCGGATTTTATGGTTTTAATTACCGCTTACAGTCGGTATGAAAATAACGGTGCAAAGAGATAAATGATTTAACTAATCAATACTATGGCTGGTAAAGAACAGTGTTACAATTATCATTTGATAGCAATCGATCACAATAAGAATAACATACATACAGTAAGTATGTGCTTGGCTTCTGAAAGCTGAATGCCGAGAATTTTCACCCGCAAAATCTCCCTATATTCTCTGATCATGCAAGTTTTATCGAAAAAGTAAGTGAACAAAAATTTCAATTCGCATTCAACAAAGTCAGGATTACTGTCAACTGATGTTTCGAGGTTATAAATTGGAAAAACTTAGATAGACAACGAAATGTAACTTAGTCGTCGAATGAACTGGTCGCACTTGCGTGTTGTAGCGGCTATTAAATGGTTCTATGAGTGTTGCCACATGATATATGTAAAAATAAAGAAGAGAACTTAAAAATAATGGAAGGAAAAATCCTATTGTAAAGGACAACTAGGTTGCGGACCAATCGAGATCAAGAAAAAACCATTGCCTCGCTCTGTGTGTTTGGCATTTAGGATTTTGAATAAAAAATTACAATAAAATTTTGAATTTTTTGGGTTGGCACAAGTCAAACGGAGAGTCATAGGTAAGGCATTCATATGTTTTTTAATCTGAAGTTGAAAAATTCGGTTCTCTATCCCTGACTTAGACGGTGACATTTATTATTTTTTAAAAATTTATAATCTCGTCAGGTAAATATTTTGAGTTACAGTTTAAATTTATTAAAGTGGTCTTGGTATTCTTCCCATACGAGGGATATTAGATAAGGATAAATAAAAGTATTGACAAGGAGAGGTGAAGGTATTTCACGCCTAACATTTAATAAAAATCTAGTGATACCAATTTTAAAACATTGAACATTCCTTATGTCACGCAAGAACATTTCTAGCGAAAATCTATCGAATCGATACTCTTTCAAAACAGACGTAATTTAATGTTTATATAAGGAAACCTCCATATTAATTATACATTTTCCCGCAACCCCTACAATGTAAGCCGATTAAAGACTCGTTATTGATAAATTAAATTTCTTCAGGGTTCGTTTACTCGGACAGAGCTAAAATATGCACTGGTTGAGAGAGCCCAATTCTAATCATCACAGTATTGGTATTTTCTTATTTTACACGAGGAAATTAATTAGAATTAGCCGCAAATGTTCAATTAAGTCTATCAAGAAAACTCCAGTGGTAAGACCTCTCCGATGGCTCAACGGTGATTCGTTGTTGTTTGGGAGATGGATTCGATACTAGCAGGCAAGGTTTTGAATATCCTTTTATTCAAGCATGTAATTTTTTGGAGTGATTCACGCTGCGCAAAAGTCTCTTAATATTTTTAAAATATCACGGCGGATGCCCTGTTCTTTAAATTTTGCAAGTCAGCAAGTAGAAAGAAAAGACTACAAAATGAAGTGTACCAAGCTATTTGTATGCAGCCATCTCCTGCGGAAAAATATTTATTGTATCCATTGTATTGCAGTCGGTTGGCCACCGGTAACCTGCAGAGAATTTCCCTCTATGCTCTGCCGTGCATGCAAATCACAGCTCATATATCCTTGTGTCGTCGCTATGCCGGCCAATGCGTAGCTCTTTATGCAGATCTTGTCTGATTTGGCCGTAAAAAAAGCAAGTTTATTCTGACGGTATTCTAATAGTATACCTAATAGTATACCTCTTAACGCACGATTTTTGCACTTGAAGGACTGAAGATTTTCCAGTTAAAAACTCATGTGAGAAAAAATACCTCGACAGGATTTTTCGTGCATGTGGACTTAAAAAAACTCTACGGATATGGCTATCGAGATTCAAGTATCAGTCAATAGTCGAACTTTCGAGTCTAAAGAACGATACGCCAGCTGAATCGCGTAGATTGAAATAAGTATTTGATTCGCACTTATAATTTTGCATCTTCCGTGTGAATGTGGGGCATGATTTTATTAGTCATATTTTAAATAATGATAAATAGGTTGCAAATTAAAAGCCTGCAATCAGCTTGTTTATATTTTTAACACACTTTCTCCTGAGACTGGCTAGATTTTGAGACAAAGAGTGGCATGCAATAGCGTAATACTGACAAGTTGCTTTTAACATTAACGCGAGGCTAAAACTTCTTGAAGTTTTTACTCTAAATGAGCAAAGTTTGGACAGGCTTGCACATGGTCGGTGCTCGAGAATGAAGCATCGTCTTGCGCTCACTGGCGGGCTTAGAAATCTCGCAGTCAGTCTCGGGTACGAAGTGAGAATTTCTTCAGCAGCGATCGCGTCTCGCACTTCCTTAGATAAATAATGGAAAAATGTTTTGTTGTATTTTCGATTCGTCGTGTGTTTTTGATTTGATAATTTTTGTTACGAAAGTTGGAGGAATGTCAACCTGCACTAACGACGGAAACGAAGTAAATTTGCGAAGTTTTGAGCCTCGGCCAAGGTTTGATTACAAATCGCCAACTTGGTACACTTATCAAAAATATCGTGAAATAGCCACGAGAACAATTACGTAAATCCTATGAATTACGTAAATCCTAATAATGTAAAAATGGAATGCCAAGAAATATAGAAAAGGTATGAAATACTTTCGGCTAGACGCAAAGTGAATAAGCTCTTGGTGAATTTAGCTCCTATCGAATTCCCTGGTAAAACAAGTTTCTTCTTGAATGAATATTAAGAATAGTGTGACAAAAATGAAGGAGGGTCTGCTATTTTAGTATTTCATTCCATGAGAGTCTAGAAAAAATTCCTCTTAATTCTACGTCAAGTTAACGAATCCTTCGCCCTGACCAGAATAAGGAGCTCGTTGGCGCAGGATGGATGGAGGAAGTCGAACTAATTCGTAAATGGCGTTGAAGGTTCGACTGTGTGCGGGGCAGGGCTGGCTTCCGACATGCCGGGTGCCTGCCTTTTAGGTAATCAAGACAGGAGCTGAGGTAGACATTATTGTGCCTGCTGTCTTGGCATGTCAGTTGCCAATGGCACAAATATGAAGACGCACAAAATAATGGACTTATTTTGTCGAGAATTGAAGCACTGTTGTGTTGTGATGATCTGAAGAAAATGATTTTTTGTCCCCACTATAAAGTTTTTTCTTATTATTTATGAATCTTTGCATCTGCGAAATTATTAGGGTGGAGAGACGTTATAGTTATTTTACGTCTGAATTATGGCATGAAACTCAGTCAGTATATATTTTGGTAATCTTGTCCATGCCGCTTCAAGAAATTATCATTGTAAATTATTATTTAAAAAATACCGATTATGAGCCAATTAATAGGTGACTGACGCGGCAAAATTTCTTGATCAACACTTTTTTGGGCAAAATAATATATTTAACAGATTTATTTCAAATGCAGATACCAGTAAAATTCGATTTGAATTACTTCTTTTCATCCTTTGTTCCAGCAAAAGAGAACTGTGCACATGTCGAGCATGATTTCAAAGCGGAGGTTTCATGCGCCGCCGGCTACTTGAGAGAAACCTCGAACGCAAACCTAGATTCGTTCTGACAGAACAAAAATTTATTTTCCTTCAGGCTGACCATTGGTAAAATAAGCTTTATTTTCTCGACCTAAACGAGGAAAACTTTCTTAAAGGATAAATGCCGCTGCGCTCGCATGCAGAGTGAAATGAAAGACGCGTGAGAGACGAATCGAGAAAAGAACTTTATTTTTGGAGATTGAAATACAATGTACGAGTAAAGCGAAACTACGATCTTATTTCATTATAATACACGTAATTTTTTTATTAATACTTTCTTCAAAAACTGTCCTAGCTTTCGAAACTTTATATATTGAAATTCGAAGCATGTTAATTAGAATATTTAGAAAATTAGTGAGTCCCACGGTTTAGCGCGACTTGGGAATGAGCGCTATTTTGCCCTTGAAGGTGAAGATGTACCTGACTTTTAAGATATCAAATAATTTTGTTCATGACAGATTTTGTTTTCCTAATTTTGCTTTATTATTCGCGTCGTTATTCTTGTTTAAGTAACAGGTCTCTGTCGCTTTTCTGCAAAATCATCATGATTCATTTACACTTTAGAAAATAATTTCCATCCGATGAACATTCTGGTGAATGAATTGCGGATTAAATGTTATTCCTTCGATGCTTAATAAAATCACGTGTTTGAAAATAGATCGATTATGAATTCAAAATCTATCAACAAGACGTACCAAATAGACTGCGTCGATTCACTTACACTTATCTATGAAAAGAAAACCTGTTTTGGCTGGGTTATTAACAGTCCATCCAACTCTGAAAAAGACTGTCCATGGTTGGAACTTGTGAATTGATATCCGTTTATCTATGTCAGTCCATACTTTTTCCTGAGCATATAATACATATTATAGCCTTTGGGATTCATCAGTTCACAAAAATTGGAACATTTCCCGCGAAGTTATTTTTCGTAACTATTAGGGACCTGCAGGCTAATCAGTGAGTGGTTAGCGGCAGCGTAGAAATACAATGTTCCGAATGCTGCTGACGGTCGTGACATCTGACCATGCGTTGGAAAGCTCTCCTGAAATGGTGGTTACATAACGGATAAATTGCAGGGTTTAAAGCTGAATTGAGATACCCTAAGGAGATGGTAGCCATGTGTGCACTGTAAGGCACACACGAGCTACACAGAGCTATCACTGGAAATATGGTGAAGTAGGGCAGCCAACAGGCTAAGAAAACCCCCATGATCACGCCCAGTTGTCGGGCAGCTTTGCGCTCTTTCGCTAGGTTCAGATTGCCTGGCTTGCGGGACTTTGTCAACGCCGCATTTTTGAAGCTTGCGGCGTGCGTGGAGCATCCAGGGACGTTGCTGGTGGAGCCGCTGGATAGTAATGTAGGTAATGTTTTTCTATAATATTTACTCTTGCTCCCTTCCCCACACTTTGGAGGATTATTTACATGGCTTGAGAGGCCCTGCATATGGCAAGGGGGATAACAAGCTCTGTGATGCATATGGTGACTGCGGTCGCTCAGATACTCCACTTGAACGGTGACGCCCTTGAAACACGACGCCGAATTGGGCTCCTCGTCTGCACCCACGACGGTCAACGCTTCAAACGTCTCAACGCGAACTCCAATACTCTCCTTTTCGTTAAAAGTGCTCCTTCCCGAAGTTCTCTTAAAGTTCCGCCTATTGTTACTTTTCTCCCCTAAAGTCTCAGACGAGGTTGAGGTGGTTTGCTGTAGAGTTTCGTGTTGATGGTGATCCGTTTGAGGGAATGATGCCGTCCGTTTCTGGATAGTGCGGAAGATACGATAGTAAAGAATCACAATGAGCGCTGATGGAACGTAGAAGTTGAGAGCCGATGTAACCAACTTGAAGAGGATATTGTGTGCGAAGTCAGTTTCGCACTCGAGCGGCTTGCGTTGCGCCCGCGCCCCGGGACTGAAGGAGCTCCAGAAGAGTACGGGGAGCAGCCACAGCGATGCTGCCGCCCAGGCACCCCCGATGAGCAACAGCGCCCGTTTGCGCGTGCGGCGTCTGAGGTAACGCAGCGGTGCCATCACCGACCAGTACCTGAGTCATAAGAGTTTCATTTACTCTTATATTCATCACTGAACTCTAGGGCTTACAACAGTTTATTTATTTAACCAAATAACATACATTTTGTTGTGAGCTCCATCAATGGTTTAAAAAACAGAGGACTGGTGTATAGAGGGAGAAAAAAAATAACTTTCCTAGAGGTCGAAGTTTTAAATTTGTGTAATCGGACTTGATGTTGTCCCATCCAGTCAGCCGATAGAATGTTCATAAAATACAACTAATTTAGTATTTAGGAAATGGTTGATTAATGTTTCGATTCGAAAGCTTGACAAGACCAAGAAGTAAAGCCTTCACGTCAAGGACACTCTGAATGGTCAGTTCAGAGCTGTAATTGTTGTCGAGCTGCAATTGTTTTCATATTATACTATCATTGAAACAGCTACTGATGACTCGAGCAAAGTTACATATTACAAGTAGTATTAAGGGATGCGCCCGACGTAGGCAGAACGACAAGCTTTTGTCCTCAGGCCGCGCTTCTCTAATCTGCTGACTATCGCCAAACTCTCCTTTTGGGACTCGCAGCTGGACGTGAAATACAAGTGAACCTGCTCGTTCCCAGCAATATAACAATAAAGGCAATACTTCCTAAGTGATGCCTTAAATAACACGAATTATGAATTAAAACACAAATTTATTTGCTCGTAATTAAAAAACTTGGAATCGAATCTAATTTTACTACAACGTATTAAGGAAGACGTGAATAGAACCCATCGTGATTGAAAAGCTTTGTAGGATTTGTTTGCCGAATTTGATGAGGTATTAGGTTTTCCCAATGCTCGATCGAACTTTATGTTCTCATTTATTCATCGCCGTGTTCATTGCTAAGTTATCCATTAATTTAGTTCACTCGAGCCTTAAATCTTAATACAGCTCTGAATATGTTCCGACTAATTAGGTTGAAGAGACCACCTGTCGAGAGTGAGCACCACGAGGTTGAAGATGGAGGCGGTGCTCGCCGTGTAGTCCGTGGCGAGCCAGAACTTGCACACGTCCTCTCCCCACAGCCACTGACCTGGTAAGTGTCAAAAACATGTCGACAACGCGATATTATTTTAAACTCTGCATTTCAAATGGTTCACAATACTTGTAAACAATGTGACCTTGGTGCGTCTGGCCCGTAAATTAAAGTTTACATTTATGCTAACATATTTTCCGAAAAAATTGATCTTTTTGAAACTATTTTCGGGGAAGTTAGGCATTAGAATGCTACTATTTACTTGCAAAAGGTATTTCCAGGCATCTTTTTTTATTGTGATACGCCAGACCATAAGCCAATGGCTTGCCCCGCTTGAGGTCTAAATATTTTTGTATTAGATTATAGTACGTATATATAATGTCTGATGAATTAATTATATGTACCTAACATCAAACACATTCCACATCAAAATTAAGATATTTTACATCTGGCATCGCTAGTTATTAGTCAAAAAACCACGAGCTTACTGTTCGCGATAAATTATTTTCAAGGATACTGATGGCGAAATATTTCTAAGATTGACTAATTTGATTAAATTACTTACTTTGCCTACTAAATGTTGGTTCATTGAAACTATTAAATGAGGCTCAAAATCAGGCAAAATAAAAATTTATTCTATTTTAACAGACTGTGCTGAATAAACAACGAGGCAACACGTATAACACACCTGTGATCGTGTACGCTGCAGTGATTGGCATGACGATCACTCCGATGATGAGGTCTGCCACGGCCAGACTCATCAGGAATAAGTTGGAGACCTGCGCATGAATGCTGCTGTTGAAAGGTCCATTAAACTGATAATAATCAAATTCCTAGCATCGCTCGTAATGTTTAAATCTACAGGAGAAATTAAGATTGGCTGCCACATCCATAACTTCGGTGTTTATGAACATAAAGCTTGTTAAAAAAATGTTTCTCGTCCTGCAACGATATTGCTGAAAATATATTCTAGTTATAGGATGACGAACAAAATGTTTAACGCTGTAACAACTCCTTGTTAGAATGTCCCAAAATAACGGTAGACAGTGAGACAGTGTATTGGTCAGGAGGAATGAATCGAGGCTCACCGTTCTTAGCCTCTTCTCGGTCCTTATGGCGTGTATGACGAGCGAGTTGCCGAGAGTAGTGATGGTGGCCAGGAGGACGAGACCCAAGCCAGCGGCCAAGTGGCCACTGTAATCTGTTTCCTTCCAGCCGTAGCCTTCATCATTCCTGTTATCAAATGAGGGAGCTGCGGACGCCGTAGCGGTGCCCTGCAACAAGTCACCTGGGAGACGTGGAACCGGCGTTACGTTGCATGACGATGACGATGCCAGAGAAATGTTCCAGCTGGCGTAATAATTTAGCAGACCCGGGTATGTTGGTGGGATGGTATTGCCTGTCGACATCATCTGCTGCAGCGAAGCTGCTGTCCATGAAGACGCCGAAGCTGGAGTGGATGACAGTGAATGAGAAGGGCTTCTATAAAAGGCCCTAAAGAACGCATTGACACCTTCACCAAAATGAACAATGGACGAATGAAGTATTCGTTCCTCGGATCGACATGTGTATATATGGCTGTTTAGTACGTCTTGAATGGCTGCAATGTTAGGTAGTCAGGCTGAGATTCGGGACCAGTTGTGGACGTGTAGAAAAACCTTAAGGGTCCAAACACTGCTAGTCGCACTCACCAATGAATCCAGTTTCTTGGTCACCGAGGGGTAAATGCAAACAATGGTTGTTCAGGGGCCCTTAACTGTTGCGTCGGTGTAGCCTCTCCTGAATCTAGACTCTGTGGGCTCCAACGATCAAAGGATTCTGTTGTTAAGTCCACAAGCCAGACTTAAATTCTGAATCATTGTCGCTGATAATAGATGAAGGGAACATTAGTCAACGATTCATCTTCGAAAATTCTGGATTTTTTCTAGTGATTTTGCATTACAATTTTAGAAGAGAAAACTTTTTATAGTTATATGGCTGCAAACACGTATTTGTGAATGTTGATGGTGTATCTCAGCTTTGCCGATCGAGTTGGTCGCGAAGAGCTTGAAATTCTCAGAAGCGCAGTAGCGTCACCGTTAAACCACTAAGCTGCTTGCAATTTTCGATGCACTTTTCTTCAATAATTCGACTAATTACTTCCGTGCCTATGTCACTTTCAGGATAGTCTTCAAAATGGCAACATTCTGGAACAGAAAAATACCCAACAGTTAAAGAACTTTAAAGACAAACGTAAAATGACAATGCGGAAAACGAGCTGAACTTGTTTTCTTTATTGCACAGATTATTCAAAGTTCGGTCTTACTGCACGTAAATGATACAAAAATTTACAAGAAATTCCTAATTATTCATGCAATGAATGGTAGCTCCGAATCATGATTAATTATTCGCTCGAAGACGTTCTAATCGCACACTCACTGCCAGAACAGATCATCGCTGGTTATTTAACATAACATAACAACATAACATAACATAACATAACATAACATAACATAACATAACAACATAACATAGTGATGTCGGCGCTGAAGAGTAGGCCTGATGTGGCCTGTCGCCGATTCTTGAACTTTTCGTGCCTTGTTCACAGAAGATCTAAAATCGTGTCATTTGACCGGATCTTTTCAGGACTGACGATAGTTTGAAATAGCTTTGAGGAGCTTTCAACATTTTGTGTTTGATGTCTCGCTGTATTGATGTATGGTGTCTCGCTGTATTGATGTATGGTGTCTAGCTGTATTGATGAAAAACACGCTTGTAGGTCCGGGAGTGATAATGAAATCTACTATTAGTTAGTTTAATTAGTACTTATTGGCGATAGGAAACGGAAGAGTTGATTCATTAAATTTTAGATTGTTTTTCTACCGTCCCGTGTTTCGACAAATCAAAAAAATTATCCTATCCTACTCTTTAATATATCTTGAGTATTTAAATAAATCGGACACAATATTAATTTAGCAAAGAAACTTAATAACGAAAATTATATATTAATCGACTCGCTTAAAATTAAAAGCCAAGTTTTGTTTTCACGTGAGAACACCTGATATGATATCGTGTTCACCTATGATGATACTGATTATAAAAATACATGCTTCTTCATGTGTTTTCTGAATAAGAGAGTGTGAACACCGTAATATATTTTCAATTTATTGAGCAATGATGTTAAACGGGTATTGAGGCCTGTGAGTTTACCTATGCAAGTGTGCAACAATGTCGTGTGTGTCGTGTGATGTCATGCTTTTTATTGTTGGTTAAGCTCATTATTTGCAGCGTCTTCTTGCTTCGCGGCGCCGACATGTGAAACAGGCTCTCTGCTGGCATCGTAAACGCCCAGAGTATAAAAGAAAGCAAAAGTAGACTAGATAAAGTTATGCAGACGTTTTTAAAATTAAATAACAGGTCAAAAGTCAATTTTTGCATTCCATGTGAATAAGTCTCGAAAATTACAAGAATTTTCAAGCCAGGCTTAACTTGTCCTATTCATCAGAGCCAACACTGCAGTAGACCTAATAATACTTGTTTTCGTTTTTCCACGTAATAAGATACTGTTCATTTACTGTATATTTTACTTGTTACTCCACTGTGTGCTAAATGACAAACAAATGGCCAAACGATGATGCAAGCAAAAGTTGCATCGATAAAAAGTTGTTGCATCGGTGCAAACAAAAGTTGCATCGATAAAAAGTTGTTGCATCGGTGCAAACAAAAGTTGCATCGATAAAATCCCGCAATAATCCCGAACAGCAAATAGTATGTCGGGTTGCACTACTGTGCAAATGTCCAGTCTGTAAGGCAGTGCGGTGTGCTATACTTTACGACGTTATTTTATGTTAACTTCTGTGTGCTGTCCTGAGCAACATACCGCCCTCTACCTTATCGAATATTGTACGTCGGTCTCAAGAGCGCAGCTGCCTACAATGGACGAGAGGGGGATATTGTTGAGGGTTAAATCGGGGTGATGAGGCTGCTTCTGTAGTGGCTGCTAGAGCGCCCACCCCTGAGGTCAGTGCGTTGTAAGTTGAACATGTCGCGGGTGTGTGAACCCACAATACAGAAGAGTGGTGGCGCTGGGTAAAGTAGTAAAGGAATTTAGACATGTGAATTTGAAAGATGACTGTGACTCTCAAACTAAATTCGGGAGGATGTTTTCCCGGCGAATGATATTTTTTCTAATTACAGAATCCCAATTTATTGATAGTGCCGTTTGATATGAGAGAACCACACAAACTAGGCGCTGTTCTTTTCGATATACACCTTTCTTCCTATTTTTTGCGCATAAAATTACTATTTGTCCGCGAAATACTCGCTGAAGGTACCCAGGAGCTCTCGTTGCCTGTGTTTCTGGCAGCAGGATGCAATTATCAATCCCAGGATGCGGTTGACCGTCAGGGTTGTGTCTCTTATCGCAACTTTTTCGGCCATCTAGTTTATTTTCACGGGGCGACCGGCCACTAGAACGCCAGTGGGACCGTTTTTTCACCGTTTTTTCTAACAGTGTATAGTTACGGTCTTGCACTAATTATTAAACTTCGTGTACCATTTTATTGACTACAACGCTGAGGTTGTTGGCAGAATCAAATGATCGAAATGAATAATACATATTATTAATCCACACTCGGAAGGATGCAGTCTGGCTCAATTCAAAGCGAATACGTAGCACTTAACTACGCTGAAGCTCGTCTAATCTCTTGAATCAAGATTTTTCAGCTCATGATTTTACCGGTTTGGATTTTTTTCTCGTTTGACGTAAGTGAAGAAATGTTTCGACTACAATTTTGGTACGATAGTGGCGTTAATTACTTGAATAATTTGACATTAATCTCAGTCGTATTGTGCCCTCCAATGTTTGCCAAGCAATTGCTGCTTTATGTGTGACTACAAAACCTTTTCCTAACAGTAACAAATTAAAGTATAGCGCAGAAAGTGTTGAATAAGTCGCTTACTAATTTCCATTGAATTGTCATTACACAGACAAAATAATACTAGACGTCTCACAGACACGAAAGGCATGAAATGAAAAGGACTGGCAATATCAGGGGAATTTGTTGACATTTCCGATGACTGGCGTGAAAGGCCGCCTGTAAAGCAAGCACGCCTGTACCTGTAAAGCAAGGCCGTCTGTAAAGTAAGGCCGCTTGTAAAGCAAGACCGCCTGTAAGTAAGGCCGCCTGCAGAGTAATTCTAAATGTAAAGCAAGGCTGCTTGTAAAGCAAGGCTGGCTGTAAAGCAAGGCCGCCTGTAAAGCAAGGTCGCCTGTAGAGTAAGGCCTCCCGCAAAATTATTCTCCATGTAAACCAAGGCCGCCGCACTGCAGGCACGTTACTCTGCATGCAAGTTCGTCGCGCATTCTTTGCACCTCCATGCAGGGAGTAGGATTGTCACGGAGATGGTGCGGGATTGTATTACGTGGAAAGATTATTTGTTCAAATCAGTTCGTGTTGACGCCACTTGCTACAATGCAGAGTAGCATTTCTCTTGTATTATACATATTGTTCACACGATGTTCCACTACGCAAGGATGTTCTAGCATCGTTAATTGTTCAATGGCTAACCTAAAAGTTTAGCTTACTCCATACAAGACAATTGAAAGATTATTTGATATTGAATTTACTGCAAGACTTTAGTTTAACCTTTTATTATAGGGGATCTCAAGTTTTATGTTTTCTTAGTCTAATGATGAGCTTCTGTTTCAACGAACATGATACCGCTGGAAAACTTCCGCAGGCACTTTAGTGTACTTGATCACAGTCGCTTCCTAAATCTGCATCCATGAAAAGCGACGACGAGTCTGGAAGATTGCTCTCAAGCTGCAGCATCCAACAGTGCGTTCGCCTACGCGTGCAATATTTTAGGTCTTTTTGAAGCATAATTATTAAAGTTCGTGAAGTTTTCTCAGAAACCTCAGAAGACTAATACGTACCTCCAGATCCCAGATAAGAAAACTCGTCAAAATTACCCACAAAAATATTGTCTTACATTACGGTGCCTAATGATGGCCTTCACAGCGTATTTAACCAGTCCACATTTAATCATGAATAATTACCTCAACAATAGTTTGCTGTTTTTTGCTTTCCCTGTGTTTGGAGGTGAAAGTTTTCTTATGAAAAGCTGTCCCATTTAGTGTACATATTATCTAAATAGTTTAATACAGAGTGCATATTATCTAAATAGTTTAATACAGATGTGTACACTATTGTTCAAAAGATTATGGTATTCCTCGACGGTGCGTCTGATGCATTGTTGTATAGAACCTTTGAAGTATAAGTTTGTACGCAATTAAGAGGTCGTAGCAATATTGACTATGGTCTCTGTTCCATCAAATAACTTCTTTAAATCTTAAATTGCCAATTATGAAATTCTCGTTTCATCCTTGCAGAGAAAAAAGTTTCTCCAATTCTATGATTAATAAACGAAGACTTAATGCTGCAATCTCCCATCTGCATCGAGGTGACATTCAATGATAATATTCATCGCTTCTGCGAGTTCTATGCAATTCTATGAAAGTTTTTGGTGGCAAAGCATAACTTAGGAAGAGAAGGCGGCGTAGTTGTGCTCCAGAATGTCTCCTGCCGCTTTTTCTGCTGTGTGATGCCTTGAACGGCACGATGTGTGATGTGTAGTGGTGCTTGTGAAGACCAGCATGATCATGTAACGTGTGATGTGTAGTGGAGCTTTGTGAAGACCAGCATGATCATGTAACGTGTGATGTGTAGTGAGCTTTGTGAAGACCAGCATGATCGTGTAACGTGTGATGTGTAGTGAGCTTTGTGAAGACCAGCATGATCGTGTAACGTGTGATGTGTAGTGGAGCTTTGTGAAGACCAGCATGATCATGTAACGTGTGATGTGTAGTGGAGCTTTGTATAAACCAGCATGATCATGTAACGTGTGATG